CATGGGGCACATTATATTTCACCTGGTGTTTTAGTTATTCCTTCCTACTAGACTTGAAACCCTTTAAGGACAAGATCAATGTCTTTTCTTCCTAGTCCCATAGTGCCCAGTAGATGGTCTAGCACTTATCAGATATTGAGTACATGAACTTACCCGTTACTTGCTGAATAAATGAATACAGAAAGGCAGAAGTATGGCTTGTGATCAGTAGCAGAAGACCTACCTACCCTGCTCTTCACCTGAAGAAGCTTGTGTGCGTGTGTGTGTGTGTGTGTGTGTGTGTGTGTCTGCATGCACATGTGTGCGTGGGCGTGCTGTGCTGGGTGTTAGGAGAGTGACAGGTGAAGGGTCCACAGACAGAAGTTGCTATCACACCTTCCTCTCAACATAACCTCAGTTACTTAAAGCCGCCAAGAAGTATGGTGGTGGCAGTGAGCCAAGGTGGGGGGTGGAGGGGTGGGAATCGGCCCAGAAAATATTTTGGTTTTTAAGTTTTTAAGTTCCTTCTAACACAGGTACCAATTTGCCATTGCCATGTAGATTCTTATCGACATACCAATAATCACAAACACAGTTACCCGCCTATTACGAATTTTGTGACTATTGTTTGTATATTAGTTTGCTAGAGCGGCCTAGAAGTGTGAAATCGAGACGTCCTCAGGGTTGGTCCCTTCTGAAGGCTCTGTTCCAGGCCTTTCTCCTTGGCCCGTAGAGCTCTATCTTCATTTTCTTTTCTTTTCTTTTCTTTTTTTTTTTTAAGTTTATTGATTTATTTTGAGAGAGAGAGAGAGCAGGGGAGGGGCAGAGAAAGGGAGAGAGAGAAAATCCCAAGCAGGCTCCGAACACAGGGCTCGAACTCATGAACTGTGAGATCATGCCCCGAGCCAGAATCAAGAGTCGGACGCTACCTACTGAGCCCCCCACGTGCCCCACTATCGTCACTTTCACATGGCGTGCTTCCGGGTGCGTGTTTCCTTCAAATTGCCCCTTCCTGTCAGCATGCCAGGCACACTGGATTAGAGCCCATCCAAATGGCCTCGTTTTAACTTGATCACCTGTGGAAAGGCCTTATTTTGGATAAGGTCACATTCTGAAGCAGTGGGGCTTAAGATTCAACATGTGAATTTTAGGGGGAACACAATTCAACTCCCAACAGTGTGTCAAATATATTAGAAATGCAGCCTAAAGTTATCTATCTTTTCTACAGAGAATTGTGAATAATAGGATTTTCGGTCAGTGGCATGTGCTCCGGTGTCGACCTCCTTGATAAAGGTCCCAGTCAGGGGCACCCGGTGGCTCAGTCGCTTAAGCCTCAGACTTCAGCTCAGGTCCTGATCTCGCAGTTCAGGCCCCGCCTCAGGCTCCGTGCTGACAGCTCCGAGCCTGGAGCCTGCTTCCTGGAGCCTGCTTCGGAGTCTGTGTCTCCTTCTCTCTCTCTCTCACTCTGCCCCCCACCCCCGCTCGTGCTCTGTCTTTCTCTCTCTCTTTCTCAAAAAGAAATAAAAACATTAAAGAAAAAAGAAAGGTTCCAGCCAAGAAGAGGATGCATCAAACGTGCCCTTGTAGTCAGTTCACGTTGTTTCCACTCAGGCATCAGAACCCGCAGAAGACCTTGGGTGTGCCTTGAAACCCGAGAGCACAGAGGCGGTTTATGGAGCGGCCACTGTGGAAGTGGACATATCTGCATCCATCACACTGCAAGTCCTGGTCAACACCCCAGGGAACATTTCCTGTCTCTGGGTCTTTAAGCACAGCTCGCTGAATTGCCAGCCACACTTTGATTTACAAAACAGGTAACTGGGCTGGAGGAGGGGGGGCGAGAGGGAGGAGAGGAGGGGGAGGGGGGAAGGGGAGGGGGCGGAGAGAGGGCGGGTTGGTGAATGTGCCCCCGCAAGGATTTTTGGAGGAAAACATCCTGGCCGCAGAATGTGTTTCTTTTCAAATTTCTATCCATATCCATTATAACTCTTTATCTCCAGAGAAATGCTGAACTAAAAATACAGCTAGGACATGAATACCTGGCATTAAATAGCTGTCAGACCTATAGGATGTGCCACACAGAAAGTGAGTTCTAATGTTAACTATGACCTTGAGTGAGTACCCGTGTTGGGTCACCAGTTGTAACAAATATACCACACCTATGCAAGATGTTAATAATAGTGAAAACTTGCGTGGGGAGGACATAAGTGGGATCTCTGTACTCTCCGCTCAATTTTTCTGTAAATCTAGATTTACTCTAAAAAAAGAAAAAAAAAGCCGGTTAACTTAAAAAATGACATATAGATACACAGATATAGTTAGGGCTTAAGGAGGCAGTGAATGGCTGGAAAAATGTACAACAAATAGGGGAAGACTATTTGGGATTTTTAGGATGTCTTAGTTTTTTAATCGGATCTTGTCTGAGAGGTAAAATGTTAGAAGCTTTTCACTCTCCTTAAAGTAGTCAGAAGCTGCTTTTTGGGGAATGCTCGGGGGAAAAACATTTGGTTTTAATCTGTTTTAATCTGGTGAGCAGAATTGCAATGATGGGCGGCAGTCACAAAGTGTTTTAGTAAGAAATGGCTCCGTGTGCGAGGAATATCGGTCTCATGATCTAGAAGAAGACACCTCAGCCAAGAATTGTGATTTAATGGCCAAGTTTGTATCTAACTCTGCCGATTGCTGCCCTCTGCTGTCCCAGCCCCTGCGGATGATCCCAGATAGCGGCAGGAAGAAAGCGGCACAAGCCATTTAAATGCCCACTTAATAATTCTAAAGCTGCTTTTCTCTCTAGTTCTTGGGGGTGTTCTGGGGTCCCATGGTGTAGAGGAGGCATTGTGTTTCCAGCAACAGTGCAGGAAGTGGTATCTACATGGTCCCCAGGGGGTAACCTGCCTGCCTGACGTACGGGGGGATGTATCTGTGACCGATTCGTACCAACTTTTTGCATTTGTTCCTTTAAGGTCAAACAAACTCATAAGTAATTTTTAGGACAGTAGCTATAATTCTGAAGTTTGGTTCTAAGTCTTGGAGCACACTCATTTTCCTTTCCTCTTTTGAGGCCGTGTTACTCACTTCTGTTTTTTGGTTACTTGTATCTTGGGGTTAAACCAAAGCCCTCTTTTAGGCAGAATTTTGGCTTCAAGAAATGTTCTGGTAACCTTAAAATGTTATGCCACAACAGGTCTCACTGGATTGAGACCAAAACGCAAAGTAAAAATGTAGGGTTGTTTGTTTTTTTTTTTTTTTTTTTTTCAGTTCATGAGAGGTTGCCTTTTTGGATTTTAGGACAGACGGTCCCATTTGTTAGCCAAGGTCATGGGTCTGATGTGGATTAACTCACTTAGTACCAGAACTATTTAACAGCTTTTCCGTGGTACAGAATTATGGAAGCGTGTCTCTGGACTCAGGGCCAGAAAGCGTGAACACCTAGGCTTTGATAACTTTCTTACAGTTTTGTGGGTTACGGACAAGAGTTCACAAATGACACCAGGAGACTGATATCATGTGCATTTGGATTTCCTGGGGAGCTTGTTAAAATGCAGATTCTGATTCAGTAGGCCTTGAGAGTCCGCATATCTGTCAACTCCCAGCTGCAGCTAACACAGTTGGAGGGAGACCAGCGTTGAGTAGTACGGGTTGAAAGGTCAGAAAGTGCAAATTTAAACCCAGCGTTACTCAACAAACTACTAGAGGATATTTTAAGCCTTAATGAGAATGGGTATTACCAAACAACACATCGGAAGTTGTTTCCTTGAAGAGAAGGCTCCCCAGCCAAACTGATCTTTACCAAGGATCCAAAAAGTTAAAAAGCACAAACGCTGAGACCTCTGTATCCCTACGTATCTGTGATTTCCTCCTTCCCATAGGATAACGCCTTGTCTTAGATTTCACTTGAACTTGATCGGCTAGAGCAAGACACATGCAAAACATTGTTTCTTATCTCTGTGCGTCTTGCCTGTACGGTAATCTGGGCCTGCAAATGGGGAACTGAGACTGGCGGCCAGGTGACTGGGCAATGTAACTGTGGAGGGTGGCTTGCCATTGAAGGGAATAGCCGTTATTGCTGATGGGAGTGTCCCCCCCAAGCCTGTGCATTTTGGGACAGGAGTTTTCCCTCCAAGAGGCTGGAGAAGCCTGAAGTGAAGGCGCTAGAATGGAGGTCACTCAGTCTGAAGGGAGGGACTGAACCAAAGTCAAAGTCAAACTCACAAGGCTCAGGCTGCGTGAGAAGCTGTGTTCTCCGAGTAGCCTGCCCCCTGTGCCACCGTCGGAGACGGAATGTGAGAGCCACCAGGCCGCCTTCTGACTCAGTATGAAATGTTACATTTTAGTTTCACACGTTTTCCAAAATAACTAGTTCTCTTTCTTGTGTGTGTGTGTGTTTGTGTGTGTGTTTTTTCAGAGGGGTTGTTTCCATGGTCATTTTGAAAATGACAGAAACCCAAGCTGGAGAATACCTACTTTTCATTCAGAGTGAAGCTACCAATTATACAATATTGTTTACAGTGAGTATAAGAAGTAAGTGCCCGTTGCTACTTGGTATTCACGACATTCCGAAGGGATGGTGTAGAGCCCACGAGCTTTTTGCCAGCTGCTCGGGACCCAGTATTCAGGTTTCCCTCGATATGTAGCTGAAATGACTGCACTCACTCCGACCATCCACATAACCCGTTGAGACCCTCTGACAGACCCGTCCGCGTGCTATCAGAATGAGCACTCTTCAAAACCCAGGACACTATGGGTCACCTGCGTGGCTCAGTCGGTTGAGCGTCCGACTTCGGCTCAGGTCACGATCTCGCGGTCCGTGGGTTCGAGCCCCGCGTCGGGCTCTGTGCTGACGGCTCAGAGCCTGGAGCCTGCTTCTGATTCTGTGTCTCCCTCTCTCTCTGACCCTCCCCCGTTCAGGCTCTGTCTCTCTCTGTCTCAAAAATAAATAATTAAAAAAAAAAAAAAACAAAAAACCAGGACACTCTCTATTTGGCTTTTCCCCCACCCATTTTTTTGACTGACAGGGAAGAAATGGGAAACATTTCGACCTTGACCTTGGAGTCAGAAGTCCTGGGTTCTTATTCTGGGTCTGTCACTGCCACCTTTAGCGGGTCACTTAATCTCTCTGAACCTCAAATTTCTTATCTGTAAAACGGAGATAAAAATGCACACCTCAAAAAAAAAAAAAAAGAAAAAAAGAAAATGCACACCTCACAGGATTGTAGGATCTTAGCAGCATCCAAGAGAGCTCCCTGAGATGTTGGAAAGGTCTGTGTCTGCTCTAACAACGTAGTCACTGGCCACGTGGGGCTGTTGAACACTTGAAATGTGGCCAGTGTGACTGGGGACCAAGGTCTTAACGGCACTTGAATAACCACATGAAGTTAGTGGCTACTTTATTTATACAAATGCTAGATCACTATGCAAACTGCCGGGAACAATCCAAATGTTCTTACGGAGGCGACTGTGTGGTTGGCAATCACCACCTGCATGGCTTTCTGACACACGGGCCTAGTGATTGCAAAGAAAAAAATCTTTTTTTAACATTTATTCATTTATGAGAGACAGAGAGCACAAGCAGGATAGGGGCAGAGGGAGAGGGAGACGCAGAATCCGAAGCAGGGTCCAGGCTCCGAGCCGTCCGCACAGAGCCCAACGTGGGGCTCGAACTCACAAGCTCTGAGATCATGACCTGAGCCGAAGTTGGATGCTTAACTGACTGAGCCACCCTGGCACCCCGAGAGAGAGAGAGAGAGAGAGAGAGAGAGAGAGAGAATCCCAAGCAGGCTCCACACTCAGTGAGCCCCTGGGCTCCATCCCATGACCCTGGGATTGTGACTTGAGCCACAATCAAGAGCCAGAGTCAACCTGCTTAGCCACCCAGGAGCCCCTAGGGTACCTTCTTTTCATCTATTATTTACAGTGTAAAAATAGGACAGCAGCTACCCAAGTTCATTGTAATGTGCTTTCAGCATCCTGTTGGGTGGTGAGGTTCAAAAAAACAACAACAACAAAAAACCTGATAGAGGAGGATTTGGCAACAGTGTGAAAAAGAGGAAAGGGTCTAGCGAACCACAGGTTTAGCAGTAACCAGCAAGTAAGGCTGGGTTGCTACAAAACAGGAAAGCCGAACCTCGGCCGTCTCCGATGGAGTGTGTAGGTCCGGGAAATTAATGGATGATGATTCTTCTCGGTTCTACATTTTTTTTTCAGCTGCGTACTGACAAAACAAAACAACCCGATAGTGAAGAACTGGAGTTTCTGAAGTTTGAACAGCCGAAGGAATTGAGAATGTTTAGGACACAGAAGGAAATATTTTGGAAAAAAAAAAAAAAAAAAAAAAAAAAAGCCTGATTTCAGTATAATGTAGAAGAAACTTTCCTGGCATATAAGTCAGGGAACCTGGCTTAACTAGTTAAAATACTTTGGATGGTAATTATCTCCCTTGATGGTTGCTTCTGATTTTAAATCTCTGAAAGATTTTCATGTGTGAGTAAAGCTACACTTAAAAACAGTTGCTCTAGGGGCGCCTGGCTGGCTCAGTCGGTTGAGCGTCCGACTTCGGCTCAGGTCATGATCTCGCGGTCTGTGGGTTTGAGCCCCACGTCGGGCTCTGTGCTGACAGCTCAGAGCCTGGAGCCTGCTTCACATTCTGTGTCTCCCTCTCTCTCTGCCCCTCCCCTGCTCAGGCTCTGTCTCTGTCTCAAAAATAAATAAAAACATTTAAAAATATTAAAAAAAAAGAACAACGGGAAATCCCATGTCCTATTTACATGTAAGCTATTACATTTAAATGTAAATTATGTAAAGTATCACCACTTTGGAAAACAGACTATCATTATATGTATAGCTGAACTTGTGCTCATATTATATAAGCCAGCAGGTCCCCTGTGTAAAGAAATGTACACACCTGCCTTAGTAGAAATGGACAGAATGTTCCTAGCACTATTGTTGGTAAACACAACAGATTGGTCACGAGCTAAATGTCCATTGCAAGAAAACGGAATAACCGATTGTAATATATTCACCAATGCAATACTATGTAAAAAATGAATGTAGTATAGCTACATGCAAAACCATGGGTGGATCTTAACAACATGAGGTTGGATAAGAAAAGGAAGTTATGGAAGACGACCTATTGAGGGATACCATATTTTGAAAACCAGAAAACAAACCAACATATTGTTTGGGGACACATAGCTGTGTGGTGAAAACATTTTTAAGAGCACAAGAATGATAAACACAAAATCAGGATAAAGGTTACCTAGGGTTGAGATGGTGAGAAGCAGAAAAGAAGATATTTATTAATATTTCAGTTATTATGTTGGATATCAGTCTATGGGCATTTATATTTATTTAATAATAAAGACTAATTGCTTTGAAATTTATACTTCATATATTCTTTTGCCTCTCTCTCCCTCTCTCTCTCTCTCTCTCTCTCTCTCTCTATATATATATATATATATATAGTTATATTTTTAAACAAAATGTAAGACCAGAGATTGGGATTTAGAACAGGAAGACTTTTTTAACAGACAAGGTTTGTTGAACAATGGACTGATCTTCCTTGGGAGGTAGTGAACTCCTGTCACTAGAGGGATCCACACAGAATAGAAAGTTTGTATGTCAAGCATTATGGGAAGCAGAAGGGGGGGGGGGGGAGGTGAAGTATAATAGCCCAAAGCAAATGGGAGACCAAACTGAACCTCTCAATTCTGTTTCAATTCTAACTTTATCCTGCTGTATTTCTGCATTTTTAAATCAGTATATTTCTGCCTGGTTCTAGATAAAACCATGGGAAGAAACTTGGGTCTTAAACTATATAAGCATGGGTTTTAAGCTTTATGTTATTTCTTTTCTTTTCTTTTTAATGTTTATTTCTTTGTTCTGAGAGAGAAAGAGAGCACAAGCAGGGGAGTGACAGAGAGAGAGAGAGAGAGAGAGAGAGAATCCCAAGCAGGCTCTGAGCTGTCAGCCCTGAACCCTATGCAGGGCTCGATCTCACGAACCATGAGATCATGACCTGAGCCGAAATCAAGTCAGATGCTTAACTGACTGAGTCACCCAGGCACCCCAAACTTTACATTATTTCTAGTCTTTTTCCTGTGCATATTAATATTTGTATTATTACATGGCTTCATTCTACTTAACTTTAGTTGTCTCTAGGTTTATGAAATACCCCAAGAAATTAGCTAAATATTGAAGTTGGCATTTCAGCCAGAGTTAAATTTAACAGATTGGTGAGGAGGGGATATATTATTGTTTATATTTGGAGGGGGGGGGGCAGAAGACATTGCTGTGGAATAAAATATTTTTTCTTAATATTTTCTTAACGATGTAGAATTCTTTTCGTGAGGGGCTACTAAGACAGTTTTTTTTTTAAATATTAAAATGTGAATAATTTATGATGCTTTAGACACGCTGCTTTACACACTAAGGAGACCTTACTTTAGAAAAATGGAACACCAGGATGCGCTGGTCTGCATATCTGAGAGCATTCCAGAACCGACCGTGGAATGGGTCTTCTGCGATTCGCAGAGTGAAAGGTATGACGGGCACGGAGATAATGGCTATTATTACTTTACTTTTGGTCTTTTTCTAATGGAGTTGACATCATACTGTGCATATAAATTGGCTCTTCAGAAGAATGGGGCTGGAAAAGTACATACCTTATGCTACAGAGATTTAATGGATCGACATACATGAAGCATGGAGATTGGTGGCTGGCAGAGAGTACTATATAATTGTTTGCTTCCATTTTTCATATGTGCCATAGCTAAGTTCTCACAAATTGAGAAGTCATGCAGTTTTAACTACCAAAAACTTAACTAAACAATTCTCTTGAAAAATGGGACTGAGTATAAGGAGAAAGAAGTAAAAAATTAGGTCACCAAATGATATGGATGTGATCCCAAATTCTAGAGGAAAAGAAAAGAACACCTGTGGGTACGTATGTAACAGGTGCATTGGGGGGGGGGAAAAAAAAGGATGGGAAACCTACCCACCAAATAATAACGGTTGTTATCTCAGGGCAGCAGGAATACCGGCAGTTAAAATTCTTTCCTTTGGGTTTTCTGTCTTTGCCAAGATTTCCACGATGAACCCAATTATTGTTGTCTTGTAATAAGAAAAAAATACCCTGAAGGAATGGTGCGTCAACAAAGAAAAGGATGCCCTTGACTAAAGAGATAAGGAGGAGAAAAGTGGTCATACACAGGCTGCAAGTGATCCCTGCTTCCAGCAAGGCAGCAATTGGGGACACTCTCGGGAGGAATCCAAGTCTATTTTATGCTGGGTGGGGGAGGGGAGCAGGGTGAGGATGAGGGGGTGGAGGTGGCGGTGAGGGTGTAGAAGGGTGAGATGGGGAGTGGTGAGGGGGGATGACTGGGTGGGAATGAGGGGACGGCGGTGAGGGGGTGGGGGTGAGGCGGTGAGGGTGGGGGGGCTGAGGAGGGGCTGGGGTCGGGGTGAGGAGGTAGACCCGCTGACTTCCTTCCTGAGTGATGCCTCTCCTCTTCTCCTTGAGCTCTGCAGACTCTGGGACCTGCAACCTTCTTCTCTCCCTCTCCCTTGTTGGCCTCTTTTAGGCTTCAAAGGAAAGACACTCACCTTGTTAGGCTGTGTTAAAACCTAATCCTGCTTTTCTTTCTCGTCTTTTTTCCTCCTCTTTCGTCTTCTTTTTCTATTGTCTCTCTCTCTCTCTAAAGAATAGCAACAGAAGAGGTCACCAACCCTCCCCCCCCCCCAAATTTAAACTTCCATAAAAATGTACGTCATTCTCTCCAGTGTTGATTGGTTCAGATAACTAACTAGAAACCTTAGATTTGGGTTTGTTTACCTTTTTTTAAAGTTTATTTATTTATTTTGAGAGAGAGAGACAGAGAGAGAGAGAGAGAGAGAGAGAGAATCCCAAGCCGGCTCCACGCTGTCAACGCAGAGCTGGATGCGGGCGGGGCTCGATCTCACGGACCAGGAGATCCTGACCGGAACCAAAAGCAAGAGTTGGTCGCTTGACCGACGGGGGCCCCCCAGGTGCCGGGTTTGTTCACCTTCTGATCCGCTCCTTTTTCTTCAACAGGCTCTGGAACCTTCGCCTTTGTTTCTCTCCTGCACGTTAGTCTGTAACGTTAAAAGGTGTTTAGTCAAATGGCATTTCTTTTCTAATTGCAGCTGTAAAGGGGAGAGTCCAGCTGTTGTCACAAAGGAGGAAAGCGTACTTCATGAACTGTTTGGAACAGACATAAGGTGCTGTGCAAGGAATGAACTGGGCAGAAAGTGTACCAAGCTGTTCACAATAGGTAGGACCACGAGAATGTGAGCTTTTCCATGATTTAGGAACGACCTGACATTAACAGCAAGCGCCTGGGTGATCACTCAACGTCAGGGCCGCCCTAGTTCCTTATCCCACTTGGCACGGAATATTATGGATTCTGTAGCAGCTGCCTTCTTTATAAAAGGGTAGACCGTCTCTAAAGGAGTCTTCTGTCAAAGCAGCTTG